CTTTTCCTTGGTGTCCTGCCAATGGATTTCAGCCCCGGGCAAGTTCACTATGGAGTCAATGTGACCAAAGAAATGACAGTAGAATGTTCTTGGGGTGAAAGGGTTTATATACCCAATTTCATTCCCATGGTGGCAGGTCAATCACTAGAATCCCATCCACTCGGAGCGAGTCTGCATGCAACAAGCTGGTCTCTGCCTCTGGGCCTCTCTACCCTCACAGCTGTCTCAGACTTTGTCCTCAGTGCTGCCACCACTCCAGTCTCATCTCCGCTCTTCTACAGCTTCGCAGCTGTGTCACTGTGCTTCCCAGAGCACTGGGCAGAACTCTTTCTATAGTCAATAGCAATGTATTGCCCACACATGTGTAGTGAACTAGCTGACCAGGGCCAGGTGAGAATCCTGGCTATATGAACATTCACTTAATTCACACTTGGTCAACAATGAATTGGTCACCAATTGTCTTGCCAATGGGTTTCAGCCCTAGGCAAGTTCACTGTGGATTCAGTGATACCAAGGAATGACAAGGAATATTCTTGGGGTGAAAGGGTTTATTACCCAGCTCGTTCTCCCAGCGATAGGTAGAGCACTAGAATTACGTCTGCACCCAACAGTCTGCAGGTCTGTAATCCTCCTTCATTTCTGTCTCTGCCCAGAGCACTGGGCAGAACTCTTTATATAGTGACTCAGTAAGTAATAGCTTATTGCCTATGGGCGTGGAAGCAGTAGCCTAGCAGCAAGCTAATTACATCATCAAGGAATTTAGGTTCAGATGAGGATCCGGGCCATGGGAACCCTACCTTTCCCCACAGGGCCCTCTGCTAGTCTAGCCACCTGAGCAGAGGTGCCAGATGAGAGTGAGCTCATCTTGTGTACTCCTCCAACTCTTGCTGAGCTTCCTCAACCAACTTCACTAAGTGTAGAGGTGGACATGAATTAATTTCCAGCAAGCCCTTCTCAAATTGAAGAACTGTGAGCAACTAAATCGTTTTTTTTTTAAGTCACTAAGTTGTGGAGTGTCTTGCACCGCAATAATAGGTAAGTGAAACTGGTAGTTAACGACTCTTAACCACTGCTTGGCCCAGGTGCCCTGACATCCTTATTAATACCTAATCCTGACCTTCCCTCCATAAATAGTCCATTTGCTTCATTCTCTTCAATTAAACCCTTTTGAGTTCTGTTCTCTGTTTTTTGTTCTGTTTTGAGTTCTGAGACCCTGCCTAATACAACAAGTAAATAAATAAATAAGACCATCACAGAGTCTTGTTAGTAGCAAGATGAAAATAAGTACTTTTCTATGATAGGGAATGACAGAATAGGGAATTCTTCCTATTAGGCTGACTATTTGAATTTAAAGAAAAACAAACAATGGAAATAGCTCCTTCCCTGCCACGCCTGCCTTTTATCTCCCAATACACTTGAAAGTGCAATTTTGGCCCATACTGACCAGGAAGAAACAGGACTGAAAAGTGGAAGAGATGATAAAAGAGACTTTTATACAATCTATGAAAGCATAGATTTACCTCCGTTAGAAGTACTTCAAAATTAAAGCTGTTAATTTTTTATCAATCTGTGGGGAAAATGGAAGTTCCTATGGCCAGGATCCTCACCTGACCCTAAACTGCTTGATGATGTAATTGGCCTACTGCTTCCACACCTGTGGGCAATAAGCTATTATTGACTGAGTCACTATATAAAGAGCTCTGCCCAGTGCTCTGGATGGAGGGAGAGATGGTGGATTATAGATCTGCTGACTGCTGGATGCAGAGTGATTTTAGTGGCCAACCTAACTACCACTGGGAGAATAAAGCCAGGTATAAATCCTTTTACTTTAGAAATGTTCTGTTGTCATTTCTCGGTCTCACTGAATCCACAGTGAACTTGCCTGGTGCTGAAATGCTCAGGCAAGACACAATCCAATAGGCAAAAATTCAAAAAAGCAATAGCATCTAGTGCTGGTGAGGATGTGACAAAATGAGCTTTTCAATATGTTGCTTGAGAACTGCTATAATCTGTTACAGCAGGTGAGAGTGAGAACTGCTACAATCTCTTTGGTATATAATCTGCCAACATCCAATTAAACAAAAACACACATCCTTCCCCATTGCCACTTTTGAGAATTTATTCTAAATACTACATATAAAGATAAATATATAAAGATTGATTTTATTGCAATATTGTTTACAGTAGCTAAAACAAAAAATAGAAACAACATCAATAGGAAATGGTTCAATAAATTATAGTATATTCATTTAAGGAATTACATCAATAGTAAAAAGAATGAGTTACATTCACATTGACTGAACTAGCAAGATATCCATGATACATTATTAAGCAAGTTTTTTAAAAAGCAAGCATTATGTACAGCATGATCCTAAGCAAACCTACATATGTGCACATATATTTCTTTATATTTGTATGAGCATAAAGAACATGTATAAAAGCACATACCAAACTTTCAACAGGATTACCATAGTGGGGTGAAAATAAATGGGAAGGGATTAATGTTTCTTTATGCCTTTTTTGCATTCTGTATTTGTTGAAATTAATGTATATAGTTTTCATTTTTAATTTGCCTGTTCCCACCCCTCCTTCCACCTCAGGCAACAGTGGTTCTAATTTAGTTCACCTAAGACCAATTTTGTCTGTTCTAGAATTGTATATAAACGGAGTCATAACTTTTTGTGTCAGGCTTCTTTCATTCCTTGTTACATCTATGAGATTCATCCAGGTTGTTGCATATATTCATAGTTCATTCTTTTTTTTATTGCTAAGTCATATTCCATTCAAATGATATATTACAATTTGTCTCTATCCTGTTGATGGACATGTAGGTTGTTTCTAGATTTTGGCAGTGTGAATAAAGCTGTTATGAACATTCTTGCATAAGACTTTTGACATAGATCTTAATTTCTTTCAGATAAATACCTAGGACTTGAATTGCTGGGTCACAGGGTATTAAATGAGGATATATGAACTTAGCTTACTTTTCTAATAGAGAAAACAAAAACATTTCAAGGAAAAAATTTTGAAGAAAGAGAATGAAACTGAAACTGTATTTTAAAAAGAGAATACATTGTGCTTTTTTCTCCACTCCTTTCCCTCCCAACGGGTGTTTAGATCTATCAGATCTTAGGCTTCCCAGACCAGATCAGTGACCCACCACTTTACAGGGTGAATCATCAAAGGTGGGGGAATTCTAATGTTATACCTGCCTAACAGGAACTAGATTTATATGCCACCCACCAGGGCCATAATATTCCAGTGATAATTCAGGAGAACTGCTAACACACAGGAAAAAAGCTTCCATCATTGGAAACCACTTGCAGACAAAAACAAAACTCATGACACTTTTTTCTATAATAACAAGGTGTCACCAGAATAGATACTTAGCATTAAAAAGAAGAAGAAAGGACCAAGTTCTGAAACCTGTCAAATCAACACATCAAGGATGAGAGCAGCAGAAGTAACCTCACTGGCAAGGGAGAGTTTATAAACAAATTATGAACCAAACCTTGGTACTTCCAAATCTAAACTGCAAGTCCAAAATGCTACAAAAATCCAATCAATAACACGAATACCTATTCTTAGGAAGGAGTGACTAGAGATTTTCAGTGCTAAAAAAGTACTGTCAAACTGTCAATGACAGATTTTAGGTGTATCTACTAGGCCCATGGCCCACCACCACCTTTTTTTCCTCAAACTGGCCTTGAGTCCTAACCCTCAGGAGGATTAGGAAGCATTTAGTTGTGATGAGATGATTGTGGTTGACGTTGGCAGTGAAGGAGAGAGTAAGTCCTAGAAAGTTCCTCAACATCTACAAGCCAGGCAGAGGAACACAAGTTTTCTGAGGAGTCTGAAAAGGTTGGAAAATGAGAAGACCGGGCCCGGAAGAGCTAAAAGAGCAGGGAGTTTTGAGAAGGCAGAAGTGGTCAACTGTGACTTGAGAAATAATGAAGAGGAGCCTGTTTGTGAAGAAGACAACCTTCTCTTAAGAAGAACAGAGAAACAGGAATGTAAGGACACAGAGTGACAAAGAAGTGGCTATAGCACGGTTGTAGCTTCTTGTTGCCCGCCTGATACAGACCCACAAGGTCATGTCCTTAACTTGACATACATGCCACTCCATGTTTTGACTCTTTATATCAGTCAGGGTCCCAACAGCAAACACTGGCACATTCAAGAGTTTAGCTGAAGACAGCACAACAAAGACACAATTTAGAACAGTGCTGACAGGGCGAGGAAACTAACAGCATTTGGGGAAGCACTCAGGGGTTCGCCTCAGGGTGAAGACATTGCCACCCAAAGCCTGAAGAGGCAAGGGAAGGAAACTTGGAGCAAGAGCCAGAGGAAGGTGGACCACCTGACACCAGAAGTGGACAGAGAGGGACTTGGCTACTACTGGAAAGATGTTGCTGAGGCAGGAAAGAAGGGGAAGGAAATATCAAGGCCTAGCAGTCCTCCGTTTTCTGATCCACCTCGCATAAGCTGAACCCAGCTGGAAGCCAGAAGCCATGAGAATGCCGGTCATGAAGTCCCTAGAGGTCAGGAAGGCATGGGGCGGGGCAGGGCAAAGGAGGCTGGTGAACGGGCAGGCAAATAACAAGCACATCTGTGCTCCTCTCCCAGCTCATCTCCAGTCATTCTGCCCCTCTCCCTCCACCCTCACTGGCTCTTCTTTCTCATCCTAGAACAAAGAAGAGCTGCCAAGCTGCCTCCTACCTCAGGCCTTGGTGCACGCTGTTCTCTCTGTCTGGAATGGTCTTCCCCTCTCTACCTCATTAATTCAGTATTATCTGTCCACTTCACTTTAAATGTCGCTTTCCCAAAAAGGCCTTTCTGGGCCTTTCCCCTTCCCAGTATGAGTACAATACCCGTTATCTTCACTCACGGCACCTCCATCCTTTTCTTCCAGAGCATTCATCCTACTTTGTAATGATAGATTTATGGAAACATTATCTGTTTTAACGTTCACCTCATCCTTCAGACTGCAAACTTCATGAAAACAAGAATTCTGTCTATTTTTCACAGTACAATTCTTGGCAATGGAGTAAGTGTCCAAATTTAAATTTATTAAAAGATTTAATGAACCTGTTCTAATACCCTTTCTTATATCTCCCATGATCTCTGGATACAAACAGTTCAGCAATGGTAACATTTTATTTAACAGATCTGATTAATGTGATGTATCCACCACTATGCTAGGGTGTCATCTCCTCACAACAACCCTATGAGTCCGGGACTCTTATCAGGCCCACTTTTCCAACAAGGGAGCCGAGACTTGAGAGGCCAACTAATTTAGCTAATGTCACACAGCTATGTGGTATGAACCAAGGACCTGCTGATAGCCTAGCTGGTGCTCTGACCTCTCCCCAACACACTACACCGCCTCCTTAAATATTCTGTTGTGGTTTTTGTTTGTTTATATGTCTATCTTCATATAGACTATAAGCACCTTGGGCAGTTTTTTAAAAAGCAAGCATTATGTACAGCATGATCCTAAGCAAACCTACATATGTGCACATATATTTCTTTATATTTGTATGAGCATAAAGAACATGTGTAAAAGCACATACCAAACTTTCAACAGGATTACCATAGTGGGGTGAAAATAAATGGGAAGGGATTAATGTTTCTTTATGCCTTTTTTGCATTCTGTATTTGTTGAAATTAATGTATATAGTTTTCATTTTTAATTTGCCTGTTCCCACCCCTCCTTCCACCTCAGGCAACAGTGGTTCTAATTTAGTTCACCTAAGACCAATTTTGTCTGTTCTAGAATTGTATATAAACGGAGTCATAACTTTTTGTGTCAGGCTTCTTTCATTCCTTGTTACATCTATGAGATTCATCCAGGTTGTTGCATATATTCATAGTTCATTCTTTTTTTTATTGCTAAGTCATATTCCATTCAAATGATATATTACAATTTGTTTGTCTCTATCCTGTTGATGGACATGTAGGTTGTTTCTAGATTTTGGCAGTGTGAATAAAGCTGTTATGAACATTCTTGCATAAGACTTTTGACATAGATCTTAATTTCTTTCAGATAAATACCTAGGACTTGAATTGCTGGGTCACAGGGTATTAAATGAGGATATATGAACTTAGCTTACTTTTCTAATAGAGAAAACAAAAACATTTCAAGGAAAAAATTTTGAAGAAAGAGAATGAAACTGAAACTGTATTTTAAAAAGAGAATACATTGTGCTTTTTTCTCCACTCCTTTCCCTCCCAACGGGTGTTTAGATCTATCAGATCTTAGGCTTCCCAGACCAGATCAGTGACCCACCACTTTACAGGGTGAATCATCAAAGGTGGGGGAATTCTAATGTTATACCTGCCTAACAGGAACTAGATTTATATGCCACCCACCAGGGCCATAATATTCCAGTGATAATTCAGGAGAACTGCTAACACACAGGAAAAAAGCTTCCATCATTGGAAACCACTCGCAGACAAAAACAAAACTCATGACACTTTTTTTCTATAATAACAAGGTGTCACCAGAATAGATACTTAGCATTAAAAAGAAGAAGAAAGGACCAAGTTCTGAAACCTGTCAAATCAACACATCAAGGATGAGAGCAGCAGAAGTAACCTCACTGGCAAGGGAGAGTTTATAAACAAATTATGAACCAAACCTTGGTACTTCCAAATCTAAACTGCAAGTCCAAAATGCTACAAAAATCCAATCAATAACACGAATACCTATTCTTAGGAAGGAGTGACTAGAGATTTTCAGTGCTAAAAAAGTACTGTCAAACTGTCAATGACAGATTTTAGGTGTATCTACTAGGCCCATGGCCCACCACCACCTTTTTTTCCTCAAACTGGCCTTGAGTCCTAACCCTCAGGAGGATTAGGAAGCATTTAGTTGTGATGAGATGATTGTGGTTGACGTTGGCAGTGAAGGAGAGAGTAAGTCCTAGAAAGTTCCTCAACATCTACAAGCCAGGCAGAGGAACACAAGTTTTCTGAGGAGTCTGAAAAGGTTGGAAAATGAGAAGACCGGGCCCGGAAGAGCTAAAAGAGCAGGGAGTTTTGAGAAGGCAGAAGTGGTCAACTGTGACTTGAGAAATAATGAAGAGGAGCCTGTTTGTGAAGAAGACAACCTTCTCTTAAGAAGAACAGAGAAACAGGAATGTAAGGACACAGAGTGACAAAGAAGTGGCTATAGCACGGTTGTAGCTTCTTGTTGCCCGCCTGATACAGACCCACAAGGTCATGTCCTTAACTTGACATACATGCCACTCCATGTTTTGACTCTTTATATCAGTCAGGGTCCCAACAGCAAACACTGGCACATTCAAGAGTTTAGCTGAAGACAGCACAACAAAGACACAATTTAGAACAGTGCTGACAGGGCGAGGAAACTAACAGCATTTGGGGAAGCACTCAGGGGTTCGCCTCAGGGTGAAGACATTGCCACCCAAAGCCTGAAGAGGCAAGGGAAGGAAACTTGGAGCAAGAGCCAGAGGAAGGTGGACCACCTGACACCAGAAGTGGACAGAGAGGGACTTGGCTACTACTGGAAAGATGTTGCTGAGGCAGGAAAGAAGGGGAAGGAAATATCAAGGCCTAGCAGTCCTCCGTTTTCTGATCCACCTCGCATAAGCTGAACCCAGCTGGAAGCCAGAAGCCATGAGAATGCCGGTCATGAAGTCCCTAGAGGTCAGGAAGGCATGGGGCGGGGCAGGGCAAAGGAGGCTGGTGAACGGGCAGGCAAATAACAAGCACATCTGTGCTCCTCTCCCAGCTCATCTCCAGTCATTCTGCCCCTCTCCCTCCACCCTCACCGGCTCTTCTTTCTCATCCTAGAACAAAGAAGAGCTGCCAAGCTGCCTCCTACCTCAGGCCTTGGTGCACGCTGTTCTCTCTGTCTGGAATGGTCTTCCCCTCTCTACCTCATTAATTCAGTATTATCTGTCCACTTCACTTTAAATGTCGCTTTCCCAAAAAGGCCTTTCTGGGCCTTTCCCCTTCCCAGTATGAGTACAATACCCGTTATCTTCACTCACGGCACCTCCATCCTTTTCTTCCAGAGCATTCATCCTACTTTGTAATGATAGATTTATGGAAACATTATCTGTTTTAACGTTCACCTCGTCCTTCAGACTGCAAACTTCATGAAAACAAGAATTCTGTCTATTTTTCACAGTACAATTCTTGGCAATGGAGTAAGTGTCCAAATTTAAATTTATTAAAAGATTTAATGAACCTGTTCTAATACCCTTTCTTATATCTCCCATGATCTCTGGATACAAACAGTTCAGCAATGGTAACATTTTATTTAACAGATCTGATTAATGTGATGTATCCACCACTATGCTAGGGTGTCATCTCCTCACAACAACCCTATGAGTCCGGGACTCTTATCAGGCCCACTTTTCCAACAAGGGAGCCGAGACTTGAGAGGCCAACTAATTTAGCTAACGTCACACAGCTATGTGGTATGAACCAAGGACCTGCTGATAGCCTAGCTGGTGCTCTGACCTCTCCCCAACACACTACACCGCCTCCTTAAATATTCTGTTGTGGTTTTTGTTTGTTTATATGTCTATCTTCATATAGACTATAAGCACCTTGGGCAATAACATGTTCAGTCATCTACATTTACCCCACTACACATTGCAGGGGCCCAGTAAATGCTGAATGCTGGCTCTTTCCCACCAAGAAAGAATGCTGTGTGCTGAATGAACCTCCACATCTTTAGCCACATTCATTCTATTTATCAAAGAGCAGTGGCTATCCATCGGACTCTTTTGATATCCATTGCAGCAAGCTCTTCCTCTAGAACATAATTCCACTGAACTGGTTAGAGTTCAAGAAGCAGCAGAGCCTCCACGTGAACTCTGGACACTTGGGGGCTTTCTCAGGCCACTTGACCTTCTCTAGAAAGACCATGCCTCAGAAACCAGCCAGCCTATCCTTTCTGACATCTACCCCATTCACCCTGAATTTGACTTGACAATGAAGGATTGGTTTCCACAGTCACGAGCTGCCTAGCTGCTTCACTGAGGGCACCATGGCTTCCTGTGAATAGAGCATTCAGAGGCCTAGCTACCAAGAGCAGCACATCCACTCTGGGGCTCACCTGTGGACAGGAGACAGAAGGAGACATTGTGTCCCAGGAAGCAGGAAATTATTCCATGGGCACTCTGACTTCGCCTCACCTCCTGCTGGTGCCTGCACATTCTTGCAGAAGGACTGAGACTGTGTTATCCCTTTAAAACACCTACCAGGTTTTCTGTATAGGCTCACCTGAGCTATACTGACAGCCCTGAAAGGAAATTGAGTTTCAGCCAAGAAGAGTCCAACTGTCAGCAGAACAGAGAATTAGCAAGAGTTAGCCCTGCTGCCAGCTTACCTCACACAATGCTGCAACTCCACTTAACTTTGATCTACTTCATTGATTCTTCCTTCTTTTCTATTATCCCCCAGGGCACTCTTCTCTCTCGCCAACCCAACTTCTGTAGAATTTGGACCCTAAAAAAAAATGGTGTCTGAGCTGAAAAAGACCTCGTGTCATCTAACCAAGGGCATCCCAAACCCTAGCAAAATTATTTAAGAGGTTTTCTAAAAATACAGATTCCTAGGCCCCACCTTAGAACTACAGTCAAAAACAACTGTTGCTTTTGTCTGCCAAAGTAGGGCTTTCTTCAGAGTTTCCCCCACTCCATGTGGTTCTCCTAGGGCTACCAAGTCTGTAATGCACACCTCCCTAGAGGTGATTGGCCCTGACATAGGCACATGATCCAAACTGGACCAGTCAGAGTGATTTCCTGTGATACCAGACTCAGTGGATGAAAGACAAAAGTGTCTCTTCCCCCTTGGTTCCCTCACTGAAAAAAAAATGGAACCCATTCTCCACAGAGTGGTTGCCCTGTTCCCTGCCAACCAGGAGAAACATATCTGCAATTAAGGAAAATGAGAATCAGAGAGAGTTCTTACAATATTTGCTAAGTTGCTGAGGCAAATTCTGTTTCTGAACTCCCCAGTCTCCTATGTCAATGAATTCCCTTGATCAGCTTAAGAGGGTTCTGAGTTTGTTACTTGTGACCAAAGGTACAGGGGATAATATACTTACTGAATCAGGAACTCAAGGGGTATGACAAGACCTTGAAATTTTTAAATATGTCTAGGAATTTCTGATACATAGCTAGGTTTAAGATACTCTGATGGGACCAACCCTTCAGTTTATAAGGAAAAAAGCTGAGAGTCTCATAAGATAAGGCATTTGATGATAATGAGGTAGAATTTAGTGAGCACTTACTACATGCAGGACCCAATGTGAAGTGAGTTGTACATTTTATTTCAACTGATCCTTAGCATATCACTGAGTTTACTATGTTTACCACATCTATTTGCTTATTTGCCAGGTCTGATTTATCTACAATTATATATCTACCATGCAGCACAGTACCTGGAACATAGTAGGAGCTTACTAAATACCTGTTGAATACTGAATAAATTGTACAGATTAATACATTACTAGGAGTAGTAATAATAGTAGTAGTAGCAGTATCGCTAACATTTACTGAGTGCTTACTTTGCATTAGGAACTTCTGTAAATTCTTTTAAACATTACCTTGTCTGCAAAAGCTTTTAAAGTAGTTTTCTATTTTTCCCTCATTATATGAGAAAACTGAGTCACAGAGATGTCAAATAATTTCTCCAAGGTCACACAGCTATTAAGCAGCAAAACTAAGTTTCAAACCCAGGCAATCTGGTTCTAAAGTCCCAGTTCACAATCACTATGCTATACTGGCTTAACTGACTTACCCAGAACAACCAAGCTACTGAATAGATGTAAAATTTGGGCCTAGGTTTGCCTAAGTCCAGAATTTGCTCTCTTTAACCACTGACAGTTCATGGTAGTGCACATAATGGTGCCCCTGGGATTCCTGTGGCAACCCTCATAACAACTAGAAACCAAGTATCCTGACTTCTAGAGAGGGACAGTCAGGTGTGATCAAAAACAAAACTCACTGGGCCAAATACAGGAGCCAAGGTACAACTGCTGGCTTGTTGTGTTAGTTTCAGTACTGTAGGAAGCAGAAACAAAGACGGAATTAGAAATATAAGAGATTTACTGGGGGGAAGGTCTACAGAGTATAAAGGGAAAAGGGAAAAAGAGTAGGTGAGGATTATCTCAGACCACAAAGAAGTTCTGACACCGGTCAAGAGGGAAAAGGAAGGAAGGAAGAGTGGAGAGGAAGAACACCCATTTGCAGTAAAACTTTGAGGAAATCTGGGCCAAACCAATGGGAAGTCAAGGGCAATGCTTGTCCAGGAGAGAAGTCCAGCACTGGGGAGAAATGGCCTGACTCCAGCACACTTGGCTCAGTCACTGGCTGGGAATAGCCCAGTGAAGAGTGTAGCATTAGTGTAAATGCTGTGGCTGATGGCTGAAGAGTGGCTACTGGAAACTGCTGGCCAGCCACACTCCTCAAAACTGGTTCTCCTGAAGAATGATCTGGGCAGTGCCTTCCCATGACTGACATTCCTGGGTACCATGAGATAAACTCCTCTGAAGGAACACCAAGGAGACAGCCAGGAGATAAGCAGTCAATGTCTACAGTTGCTCTCACACATAAATAACACAGCTGGGCATCTGCTTTCAAACCTTGTGCTAGAAGTGTCAGCTCACTTAGTGAAAAATACGTTTTCTTGAAGTGGAGTGGGTGGGGATATTTTCTCATTTGTTTTTCTACCACGGACACATTTAAATTGCCACAAAGAAGTTACTGTGGAAACTGTTCAAAACTTGCAAGGTAAAGGTAAAAATGAAACACTTTGTTGACATGCAGATGGTTAGTCTTTCGAGACCACTTTTTAACAAACTCTCCTTGTCTGGTTCAAGTCCTTTAGAGGCTCTCCTGAATCAAAGGTAGACAGGCACGTTTTTTTGGTATCAACCTTCTAGATGGCCCAAGCCAACTGTGAAAACGCCACCAGGTGACAACTCTGGAATAAGTCTAGACATTTCCAAACATGGTATTGAAACAAACAAAATAGACAGTGACATTGTACTCTGTGGGTAACTCTGGTGAGGCTGAATTGTTGTGAATGGGCTTAGTGTAGGGAAGATGTTATTTTTACACCAGGCCCATTCCGCTGGTGTACCCTGGATCTGCTTGTTTGACAGTTAACTTGCTGAGCTCTTATTTATGCAAAGTAGTTTCTCTTATCTTCCTTTGGATCTTTAGCTGAACAGTCCTTTCAATATGAAACACAAACCTCTTATTTGAAAGCCCATTTCTCTAGCTATTTCTGCTCTTCTTTACCTGCCCCTCCCACACACACCTTCCAACTCACTCTAGGTCTGCCCAAGTACTCTAGCTTGATACAGATCTGAGATAGCTTTGTCCTGAATTCTGTTTTCTGTACTTTTCTGCCTGGCAATCCTTTCAATTTACTTCCCTCAGGCCTTAATCCCAAAGCTTTGTTGAAACCATTTGCAAAGGTGCATGAAGAGATGACTTGACCTGAAGAAATACGAGTCAGAGGTTCTGGGTTCTTGCCTGGGGAATCATTGTTACCTAGTCTCTTGACTAGCAGCAATCAGTTTCACTTGTTTGTAAATCACTCTTCACCTGTTTGCTCCACCAGGCCTTTTCTTGCATTTTTTTTTTTATGGCCAGCTCCTTTTTATTATTCAACTTTCAGCTTAAACATAATGTCCCCCAAACAGCTTTAATGTTATTTTCCTCTAACATCATTCTTTATAACATTATCTTCTCTTTTTTTGAAGCACTTTCTATATGCAATTATCTTAAATGTTTCCTTCATTATTATGTTTCCTTCAAAAACCTTTGAGATCCAAGAGAGCTGAGATCTTGTCTTGTTACCAGCTGTATTTCCCCGTCCTGGCACATAGAAGATGCTCAATAAATATTTGTAAGATGAAAAGAACTGTAAAATTTTAGCATTGGAATCAAATGAACTTTAAGGCTGCTTGCAGCTTTAACATGGGCATTGTCAAAAACGAATAAGTGAAAAATGAAGTGACAACAACCACTGTAATAAAACACTAAATGCAGTGACGTGTAGTTATGCATTAAGAATATAAACCTACAAAGTTCTAAGGAGTGTCATTGTGCTATAATTTTGTCTTTCTACAATTTCCCATGGAGTGTAAACTGAGTTTATGAGCTTTATAATAAAGTATCTAACAAGGATGTCGGATAGCTCTCTAAATATAAAACCACTGTATTACAGAATTAGAGTGGAACCGGTTTTGAATATAATCTTTTCAACTTACAGAGATGGAAACTAAAGCCCGAAAAAGTTCGTGTATTTGGACACTTGGAACCAAATACTGCGGTATTGTCAGTGAGGAATACATATGGCAAGCACACTTCCGTATAATCATTATTAATAACATAGCAATGCCTAATATTTGAAAAGCATGTTTGAGTGTGTCTAGATACAGTATCAGTGGTTCTGAAACTTGAGCACGGAGAATTTGTTAAAGCACAGATGGCTGGGCCGTGCCCTCGGAGTTTCTGGTTCTGTAAGGTCAGGGGAATGGGGATGGGGAATGGGGAACAGGGAGAGTTTAAGAAAAATTGTACCGACCTTACCGTCCCAACTCTCAGCTTGACCGGCCCCCGCTCGGCGCGCAAAAATAACTACAAGTCCCGGCGTACCCCGCGCGCAGACGGCAGAAAGTCGGGCACTTCCGCTCCACGCAGTGCCACTGCCCCAGCGTCTCGACGTGTCACCGGCCGCGCCGCAGCTGTGGCAAGAGGAGCCGACTGGGGGAGTTCGAGGCGGCAGGCGGCGAAGGCGACCCTGGACAGGACCTGCCTCGGCGCGGAAGCGTTCCCGGGTCCGTGGGGAGCGGGAGAGGGAGGCGGCGGCCCGGCCCGCGCAGGGCACAATGTTGAACATGTGGAAGGTGCGGGAGCTGGTGGATAAAGCGTGAGTATCGGGGGCAGTCGTGGCCGAGGCCCACGCGGGGGAGGGGAGGAAGGGGAAGGGGAGCCGGCCCTGTGCTCTGGGGCCGCCGCGTCACGCCCCCCGGCTCGGCCAGCTCCATCATGGCGGCGGCCGGCTCTCGCCGTGGCTCGGAACCTCGCCCTGATCGGCGCAACTGGGAAGAGACCCTTACTCGTTTCAAAACGTCCTTTTAGCCCCCTTCTCTCATACCCAGCCTTCCTCACCCTGCCCTCACCGCTCCAGGCACAGCCCCTTTGGTCAGTCCAGACCTGGGGCACTGCCCGGGCAGGAGGACTGTCTTTTGGGGTTGCCTTCTGGGCAGCAGCAAAAACTTGGGGGTCGGGGCGCAGAGCACTGAAGTGTTAAAGTGGGTGGTAGGTGTAACAAGTGGCCATTGTGGTCAGGCTGAAGTTACTCAAGAGGAGACTCAAACTTTACTTTTACAACACCAGTGAAAGTAGATCACCACATAACTTGTGGTTCTTTTCCTGTTTCCTTTTCCACTGCAACTTCATTTTTGAAGGGCCACTTGTTCCATTCGGTTTAATTAACAAGTCTTTGAGAAATTTCCCCTAAAGAAGAAAATAACCTTGTTTCTGTCCTTTTTGATCTGCTTTTAACTTCTTTGACAGGCAAAATGGCTAGTACATCGTTGATTTCCTTTAAGACTTAAGAGATAACTTTAGTTGTTACTAGGAAACTTAACTACACTAAGAAAACCTTAATACTTAGATTGAGTGTAGCAGATGTAACGGAGGTTAGGGTCTTCTAGGCCTGCAGGAAATAGAGTTTAAGAATTTAATCAACCCTTCCTGTTGGGTTTTAGTGATAATGCAGTAACTGTGGTGGCAAAAATGAAGTATTTTTGCCAAAAAAAAATAATGATTCACAGTGGCCTGAATAATGCAACAGATAGAATTTAGAGTTTTAACTGTATTTTCAAATTTTCTATGCTCCCAAGAAGGCAATAGCTAGAGCGCCTAAGGAACAGAGGTTTCAGAACCTCCAGAGCTGGGTTCAAGCTGTGTAACCGTGGCAAGTTACTCAACTCCAAGTGCTGCAATTTTCTCAGGTGCAGTATGAAAATAATGATGGATCCCTGCCTTAGAATGTTGTTTGAGGGCTTAGATGGCATATAAAACCCTTAAGAATATTTTTAGATCATACTTTTGGTAAATATAACAGATGTTTTTCTTTGAGAGTGAGCTAAACTCCATTAAGAGAAACTCCATGTTTGAAGGGTGATTTGCTTTAGTAATTATCTTTTAGCACTTACTCATTTGGCCATTAAGCCCTCAGATGTCTGGGGCTTATTTTGCTATTTACATGTCCTTTGCTTTTGCTTTCCAAAAATAAAATAAAATCATGGCTCTTTTCTAGATCCAGGCTCATTGGTTGTTTTTTAATATATCGTATAAAGACTAGTCTACCAGCTTAAATCGTTTATAAGTCCAAGGTCTCTACAAAACCATCTCTCAAACAGAGGACAGCAGAAGAAAACCTCTGTGAAACACTTTGTTATCTTAGAGGACCAAATTTGTGGTGCTCAAAAATTTGAAGAGGCTGTACATTTTTCAGTAGATGCAAATCAAGGCCATATTCTTGCTGCTGCTGTTCATTTTGTATTGTTTGTTTTTATCACCTGTGTTACTACTCTTCAAGGGCTTCATGTTAAATTTGCCATGTAAGTAATCAAGTTATGTAATGGAAGAGCTGTTACTGTAAAATAACTTCTATCTTCCTTTTTACTACCCAGTTTAGAATGGAGACTTGAACCAAGTTATTCAAGAACATGTAAGAATGTTAACACCAAGGACTTTTCTGAAGCTCTCTTGGAGGACTGACACATGATACTAAGATTAAGATTAGAACATGATATTAAGATATTTTATTGATGAATACTCAGAATTTAATTTTCATCTTTCACTGAAGAAGTTCTTCCCCCAAAATGTAAGCATCTTACAGAATTAGTACCTGTGGCACTGTGTCCAGTTAAATTGTTCATTCACCTGAAAATGCCATAATGGAGTGAAAAGCAGATCCATAAAATGGTGGCCCTGATTATCAAGGGAATATGGTGATGAGGGAACTTGCTAATGAGGAAACAATGAAATGATTAAGGACTGTTCTGAGAGCTTGGATGAATAGAATGCAGGTTAGTTACGATACAAAGGGCACTGGTTAGAAGTTTTGGAGACCTGGGTTTAGGTTCTGACACTGCCTTTTAACCAACCATATATGTAATGAGGCAGAACCACATGTATCTCCAGACTGTGGATTCCTTATCTGTAAAATTGAGGGGATTTGACCAGTGTTAAGACTTTTTCCAACTTTGCTGATTATTTGGAGATGTAAATTGCTATTGGGTAGAAAAAAATTAGTAGTATTTCATAGTAGCAGATGAATTTTGGAAAGTCATTATCCTCCAAAGATAGTTTTGGCTGAAAAGGGAAATTAGAAAGTGGTAATCAAAAATGTTATATTTAAATACTTTATGCAGTAAATAAGTGCATCCTATGACTCATAAAACTATAACTTTTATCTAGCGTATATTCCTACCCAGTGAAGTTTACTTCAGAAAGAAAAATGTACTGTTTCAAAGTGTGTTCCCTGGATCTACTGTTAGATCCATTATGATGGCAGTTTTTAAATATAATGAGATATCTCAAATATTGCCTTTTGAGACCTTGAAGACAAGGGAGACAGTTTCCACAATTGTTGCACCTCCTGGTGGTGGTAAATGGCACTGTTTCGCAGAACACGTGAAACGAGGAAAAGCAGATAAACACCATAGGCCAGCCTGAGCTTGGAGTGCCAGTTTCTTCCCACTCATACTCAACTTGAATGAAAGGCAGCTGTGGCGGGAAATGATAGTAGTGGCACCACTTCCACCAACTAGGACTAGCTTGACCATTGTCATCTTATAACTTGCTATTCTTTATTTCAGGCTGTAAAATTGAATATGTTTATATTTTGGTATCTCATACATGGTGTAAATTGAAAGTTGCTGCATTCCATTTTTTCCTCCAAATTTTAAAAATGGTGGTGAAGATGACGTGGTAGTGATAGATCAAAAACTGCTACTTATTATTCAAGCCCAAATAATCTTTCTCTTTTCATCACAATGTGTAGTATTAATGGTGAATCAATTTCATCAGTGGTCTTTATTCTTTTTGTGAGAGTGATTCAGACAGCTCTGGCCAAGGGCCTAAGGCAACTGCTATAGATGGTCAATTTTAAGTTATTCTCTTAAGCATAGCTTGCATTTTTCCCTTATATAAATTGATTTTTGTTGGTTTTATTTGCATATTTTCAGTTCCTAAATGTTTAGGTGATGTACTGGAGCTGTAGAAACTACAGTTCCAGTCTAGCAGAGAGAGAACCTTTTTCTTTTATAGAAAAGGTTCATTCAATTATTTCAACAGGTAATAATTTTATTTATTGGACTAGCACTATATTTTCTCATTGAAAAGTAAAACACCTGCCTTCAAGAAACTTGCTTCTATAAATACACAACTTCAACTTATTGTTGGTTTTGCTTTGCTTTCTGTTCTCAGATGTTTTCCCCCATATTTTCCTTATCTTACCAGTAAATCTCTGTTCACTTTGCTTCTTAGAACTTGAAAGCGAAGATTATTGTCAGCTTATTAGTCTTCCCGTATCAACTTTTCTTTGAACCGACTTTAGGTAATTATAACTAGTGAAACAATAAATTAATTATCTTTCCTATCTTTTAGTAACTGAATGAAAGTAGATACTAAGAATTTAATTCCAAAGAAAGATGGGTTTATCTTCTGCCAGCATTTCTTAGGGGTGGTTTTCTATAGTTTAGTCTCTTTGGTACTTCTGTTAGGGTGCTTTTAAAAGCACTTAACTGCCTCTCACATTTTCCTGTACCCTTTAGTGTGTTTACAAGTAGTTTTTCATCTGTTTACTGATACATCAATTAAAAGTACTTGGCCTTTTACATTTTAAGTACCACTTACTAGTACTCCTAGTTTTTACAGTGTGGTTCCACAGTTAAGCCTTTTTCTATGCTCCTATACTATTTTCTTATTTCCAGTGTTTATTTAAAACTTTCTTTTAAGAGAAAAAGTATAGGCAGTTTAAAAAGCTTTTTATCTTGAAGAAATTTTATTGTTTTACTTATCTATATCTACCTAACTGGAATTTATTCATATTTTTTGGCTTTTATTATGAAAAATGTCAAATACATACAAAAATGGAGGGGATATTGTAATGAGCTATGTGTACACATGACTTAGCTTCAATAATTTAGCCAATCTTGCTTCATCTGTACTTCTATCTACCACCCCCCACTCCATATTATTTTGAAGCTAATCCCAGACAGTGTCATTTCATCTACAAATATCAATCTCAAGAAGGTAAGGAGTCATCTTTAAAATCATTAAAAAAATACCATTTTCACACTTTTTTGAAAAAGATGATTACTTAATACCAAGTGTCCAGTGTGTATTCAATTCTTAATTGCCTTATAATTTCTTTTTTATGTTTCTGTCTAGTTGGTATATCTCTTGATACTTTTAATCTATGGGTTCAATCTCCATCTTTTTCCCTTTGAAATTTATTTGTTGAAGGAAATTGGTTATCCCTTAGTCTGGATTTTGCTAATTGGATTCTTTTGGTTTTTTTTTTTCATGTTTCTCTAATCTCTATGCTTCTTGTAAATTGGGAATTGCATCTAGTCACTTGATAAAGTTCCAGTTTTGGGGAGCAAAACTGCTTGATAGATTGAAACTTCATTTTTCAGTGTACAAATAAGCGACTCTTTTCAGTCTCAGCTGATACTACTTAACATTCTGGGACACCATATTTAATTGTTTACTTGTTTGTGCTTTTTTTGAGGTGTCATTTCATGTGAGCTTTCCTTGTTAGTCTAATTATGTGTGTTTGTCCATCTGTATGTTTTTATAGTAACTTGGTAGCCATGCACACTCTCCTGCTGTATACAGGCATGACCA